AATGAAGTCACACTTCTCAAATCTCTCACAAGGACTACCTAGGACAGTAAGCACCCAATAAACACCTTATAATTACTGATCCCAATATCACCGACTTAAAAATCAGATTGATTCCCATAGGAGCGGGGAAAACACGGGGTGGTGAGTATGGAGGAAGCAGTAGGAGAAAAAGCCCAAACATAGCAACAAACTTATACGAAGTCCTGATGCAGGGGCTTGCATTTCACAACGACCTCGGCCAGTGCAGGAGGAATGCCACCCACCTTCGGAACACAGAGCATCTTTCTTAATGTCAAGTCTTCTCCTGACAACAAGCTCTTTCCTGGGTCCCTGTGTGACATCACATCTGTAGCTTACCAAAACGTTACCTTATTCTGCCCCTTATTTGGGTAGTTTGAGACTTTTATAGGAGGTTGGACCAAAAGATGGCATGTGGTGATAGAGACTGCCGACCGGCCTTCTGTGCTCTCAACTGAACTTTTCTAAATTGGAGGTTCTAAATGGAATGATTTGTTAATTTCTCAGCTATGAACATTTTTTTTAACATGGAATGTCTGCAAGCATCTGTGCTGGAGGCAATCATCATTGCGGCAAATTGCTTTGTTTCTCTGTTTCGATTTCCTCCTCAGTAAATGGATACTCTGATTTACCCCACAGCACTGTGATGAAGGTAAAGAACATAGCATATAAAAGCTTCTCAGAGAGGGACGTGATGGATCACATGGTCACCAGAAAGAATACTTACTGTCAGTGTGAGAAGCCATTGGATAAGTCCTTAACTTAGCCCTGCATAGCCAACGATAATGTTTATGGCAGTTATTGTTGATATTAGTCACAAAAGAATGACTTGCATTTGCATGTTCTCTTACTTTTCAAAATGCTTCGATTTGATAGAAAACTTAATTCCCAAATTCACCTTTGCAGTGAACCAAAGATGTCATCACAATTTCACAGTGAAGAAACTCCAGCCAAATGATGGAGGGACACTAAGTTCAGGTCACATTTACCAGAATGCATTCTTGGTTCTTCAGATCTAGATGGACCCCAACACCTTTGCTCTTCCTTAACTCCCCACTCTGCGACATCCCATCCCTTCCACAAGTCTGATGTCTGTGAGCTCCAGCGCTGCCTTTAAAAAGTGTTGCCATCTTTAATGAACCACAAAACCATCCTCCCTTCCCTTATTTTCTGAACCTTCGTTCACTGAGATGAAATGTCAGACAAAAAGAACTATTTGATAAGTCTCTGACCCAACTTTGCTGTTCAAAGAGTTTAAACATATTATATGACGCCAACCCACAGTTACCAATTCCCACTCTGCACCTTGTTTTCAGGAGGAGAGGGATATAAATAGAGTTTCTATACCTACCTCACTCAGGCACCAATAGCATGGTATATTTATAGATTTATAGATGCTATCTGTGTAAGTGGAATCCACACACATAGATATATGTACACCTATGTCAGCTTTAATAACATAGTACATAATAATATAGCTTTACATATGAAGTAAACTTGACATAAAATAAGTTTTTAAAATTTATATATGTGTGTATATATAGATGTCTATATACACATACATATGTGTCTTACTACCTGCTAAAAGTAAAGCTTCCTCCATCAGTGAAATAGACAATAGTAATAGTGAGTACATCACAAAGCCATCATAAGGACTAAATGAATTAATATTTACTAAACACTTAGAATAGTCCCTAATACATAATACACACTCAATAAATGTTATCTGTCATTGCAATTATTATTTATTTTATATATTATAAGAGGATTCCTCATTTTTAAACATCATTCACTAGAGAGTGTGTTAAATACTTAATTTCTCCAACGCATCAATTTTAAAAAATTATCAATATCTATTTTCCAATGAGACTTTCAGAAAAACATTTTTTTTTTTGCTGAGGTGGCATATTATCTTCCTTAGAAGACACTTACAGTATGTGTAATAAATGTACCATAAGTCGAATCAGATACCCCTGAAGAAATAAAAGCAAGCTGTTAATTCAGAATCTTAGTAACAATTATTTTATACCATAGGACCTTATTCTATTCTTCAGTGACAGTACTATAAATAAATACATATAATTTATATCCTAAAATTGATTCATCCTCAATTATGCCTGTTTAATTCAGCATTGTTTTCAAAAACAATGGCACTGGGAAAGATTCAACTACATTTACATTGGTGCATTTGTGTCTAAGTTCTAATACAAAAGTAGTCGTCATTCAGAAGAACTTGAATGTCCATAGCCCATGACTCTAACAGTCACATTGGAAATTCTCCTCATCCATCACTATCAAAACATGGTCATGGCTGCGGGGTGCCTGGGTGGCTCAGTCGTTAAGCATCTGCCTTCGGCTCAGGTCATGATCCCAGGGTCCTGGGATCGAGCCCAGCTTCGGGCTCCCTGCTCAGCGGGAAGCCTGCTTCTCCCTCTCCCACTCCCCCTGCTTGTGTTCCCTCTCTCGCTATGTCTCTTTCGGTCAAATAAATAAATAAAATCTTAAAAAAAAAAAAAAAAAAAAACATGGTCATGGCTGGACTGACTAACATTCTTCCAACCAAGTGCACCCAAAATGAGAAAAAATAACCAGAACCGCTAGTTAAATTCCTCCAAGGAAGAATGGGGTCCTGGAGGTATTTATTAAGGATTGCTTTCTTTAGCTCTGATTCTTTCTTCACTACCTTTGAAAAGTAATCCTTCCTTTGAACCCTACCAGTTTACGTGAATTCTGGTATATTTAGAATAGAGATGGAGCAAGGTTTTCTCACATGTGTTCCACAGGACACTAGTGCTACAGACAGGTGCTATTTTTTAAAATATGTGTGTGTGTGTGTGTGTCTTTACACACACACACAGACAAACACATAAACAAATCAAGATTATAGATGAAGATAAATAAATCAAGATTTCCTGATCAAATAAAATTGAAAAACACTAAGCTAAACAGAGTTTATCAGATTTTTTATCATGTAATTTCTGGTGATTCTTAATATGTTACTGTGACTCTCTAAGAGGGAGATTGCCAGACCACATCCCTCAGACATATCTATCTATAGACTCCCCATCTCACAAAGTATCTTTGTAATTCCAATGTTCCAAGGAACACACTTTGGGAACCTGCTTTAAAATATGCTATATCGGGGTGCCTGGGTGGGTTAAGCATCTGACTCTTGATTTTGGCTCATGTCATGATCTCAGGGTCCAGGATGGGCTCCACGCTGTCCTGGAGCCTGCTTAAGATTCTCTCTTCCTCTGACCCAGCCCACCCCACCCCCCGCCACATGCTTTCTCTCTAAAAAATAAATTTTTTAAAAAGATAAAATATGGTATACCACATATTTCACATCTTTTGCTTGCATCCCCTTTCTCAATTATGAATAGAATTACTTCTTCTCTATTGTGTTTTTAGTAAATTCAGGATTTTGCACTTCTACAGATGAGAGAATCTATTTACTATATTAAAAACATTTCCTCCTCCTCCTGCAATTGACCATTACAGATTTCTGGTTAGTTGTTTTAGAATCACTTCAAGCAAAGCAATAGGTTCGGTAACTGAAAAATATCAGTTGTACTAACTCATAATTAAATAGCAAATTTATCCCGGAATCAAAATTTCACATAGCCATGGGTTTACCCACACATTTCTCTCCAACCAAATGGCATGAAGTTGAACTTAAGATTGTCATGTGCACACCAGTGTTTAGATGCCACTATCCCCTCAGGGAACTATAGCAACCACCCCTGATAACCTGTTTGTTGTCTTACAATAAAATCGTGTTAATAAATAAATAATAAAAACATATTTATATAAAATCATAGTCTGGAGGAAGGCATGCTCTAAAGCTTGGGGATCTTTTTTGTTGTTGTTGTTGTTTAAAGTGCATTACCCCCTAGGGAATGCTAAGAAATCAAATCATCCTCAAAGGACTAAACAGACTTCTAAATGTTAAGCAGTTACTAGTTAAAACATGTCATTCCTATTAAAACTTTGAGACTTAAATTTGGACTTGTAGACTTGATGGTAAGTCTTGAATAGGAGCATACTCTATATATTAATTTGAACTGAATGGGGAAAAATGCAGTAGGATTTATAAACACCCTTCATCGGACTTTCTGAATCCAAGCCTGGGGAAAAAATTGCAAGGGACTTGAATGAAAAATTACACATGGATGTATTGGTTTCGTTGATTTGTGTTTCTCTTTCAAAGCTGAAAAAAGAATACTACATTAAAAAAACATAAAATCATTTGTTAAAATTAGTCTCTGCATTAAATCATGGTAAAAAGCTGCTGTTGAACCTACATTAACTGAAGTAAAAAATATTGCCTAAAATGACCAATTTGATAGAATGTTACCTAAGGTTCTCCAGTGGTTTTTTTTTATTCCAAAATAAGAAAACTCAGTATCTCTTTTGCATTAAAATGAGTTCCAAGTATTTCAGGACCTCAAAGGAGGATCCAGCTTCAGGTTTCTGACATAAAAAACCCTAATATAGTCTGAAGAATTCCCCTAGGCACATCAGGAGTAATCAAATTTCATGTTAACTATTAAGTTACAGACATTCAATTATGTTTTCCAAACCTCTGTTTAGAGATTCAAAAGGCCCTTAGAAAACATCCTTAAACCAAAGCTCAAGTTGGCAAATGAAACCGTTTACCTGTGAGAGCAAAACAAAAAGGGGTCCAATCCCCACAGGCACATTGCGAAGTGGCACGCGATGTACCCCATCCCCATTGTGAGGCACAAATTCTTTGTGACACTGGGAGACACCGCAGAACAAAAATACTATTAGAAATGCTTCAAAAGGAACATTTTTGGCTGCGATAGAGACTTTTGACATTATTTATTAGGTTCAAAACTGCTTCACAAAAGCCTAACAATGGTTCTGTGGAAACCAGTACATCTGAGGCCTTTTCTGTTGTTCTGGGCAGGCATTGATTTGAAGATGGGCAGCACCCGCGGACAATTCCCTCGCAGCGGTCAATGTAAGTGAGCATTCACCCCCGGCCTAGGAGGGGCCTGTGAACAAACCGTATGGAAACGCTGGGGTGGGCGGGCGGGGGGAGAAGAGCAAACCTTGATTAACTTCTTTGAGGGGAGATGGGTGGGAGCACCGACGAGCAGAGGAAGGGACGCTCCTGCCAGATTGCCGTGGAGGGAGGCGTCCACCCTGGGCTCCCTTTTCCCCGGGGGATGAGGATGCTTGGGGAGCATCTCCGGTGCCATGGCAACTGCGCCTCCTCCAGCCGGACTTAGGGGCGCACCCCGGGGCCGGCTTTGGCGATGGGGGTCCGCCTGAGCGCCTCCTGGGGCTGCCTTCCTGTCCTCCAGCTCTGGCTCCGAGGAACTCCGGGGGACCTCCGACGAGGCCAAAGGGGTCTGGCTTTTCCTGCAGAGGCCGATGGCGGTGGAATGCCTCGCAGCGGGACCTGGAAAGCAGACAAGGGAGGAGGGGCCCTGAAGTGTGCGGACTTCACCCGCCCTGCCGCGACTTTCAGAAAATCTCTGCTGATAACTGGATGTGTGAGAAATCAACATTTGCAATGTGCTGAGAGAAAGAGAGAGAGAGAGAAGCCCCGGACATTCTCCTTGCCTGCTTCCCTGGCATTGCCTTAAGAAAATAAAAAGCTATCTATTCCCTTCCTGTTGTTTAAAAGCACCGTCTCCAAAAAATGATTTTTTACAGGCCCTCATAATACTTTTCATGTCAAGGAAAGCTGTTCAAAATGGCTCAAGAGAGGGAAACAGAAGAATTGGTGACGAAAATAGAGCCACAAATTCTAAACCAGGGAAACGTTTGAGTGGAAAATAAAGTGGAATTAGAGAGTGGGCAAAGCAAACGGATCCATGGCCCATGTAGACTTTCAACTGATAATTTAAACACCCAAGTTTTTATTAGAAATTTCAACCAGCTGAAAATTAAAACAATCAGGGAATTAATCTGATCCAGATCTACCCAATACATACATACACACTAATACTAATAATCAATTTGATGTTTTTCTTTATTTGCCCAGTCAAATAATTTTTATGTAAAAGTTGAGATTTTTTACAATACGGTCAACACGGTAAAAGAATATATATATGTATATATACATTTATCTCCTTATGTATAGTTTTTCCCTGAGAAATTATACCCATTGACCTACATAAAGTCTAATTCTTTAGTAGTAAATTAAGACAATTTATGTGCTTTAAATCACTTTCCACAAGTTTTAGAGGGCTTTGAATAGCATGTAGATATATAGAATATTTGGAGCAATCTACAAGAGCATTCACATTTCAAAAAATATGCACCCTTCTTTACGGCGGGTGTCAAACAGCCAGTCTATATCTAGGCAATTCAATTAGCTCATTACATACTGTTCTGGTATGTATTGGGCATCTCCCACTACACACTCAACATACCCAACATACTCAACATACTCAAATAACACTGAAAAACTCTTAGTGACTTTCATTTCTCAGTATAAGAATTATTTCCTGGAAATAAAGGTGGAATGGCATTTCAATATCTCCAAGTAAGTAAAACCTTCCAGAATGCCAAACACACTAACTTTCTGAAAACTAGATGCTTAATAGATATTTGTTGATTTGGATTTGCAGCCATGGCAGATGACCAATTCATTGCTATCAATAATCAGTGCAAGGGAATTCCATAAGAGAACATGGATGTGGTTCTGGAATTTGGAGCAACAGAATGTAACCTAGACGGGTCAAGACAGGTCAAGGCTCTGTCATAAGCAAAGAATAGGGATTCCTTCCCTGAATGCAATTCGGTAATGATGCATTTTGTAACACTCTCTTAGGGAGTGTGGTGTAATGGAATCAACAAGGCTTTGGTGTCAGACCATCGTAGATTCAAATCCTGGCACATCACCTGGCCTAAGCCTCTTTGTCCTTACCTGAACCATGAGGATTATATTACTTACTTCACAAGGTCACTAATAGGATTAAGTTTGTTCATTCATTTATTCGTTCATTAAGATTTGTCTGTTATATGTCTGCCAGTATTCTAGACACTGGAGATCCAGAGAAGCATAAAGCAAGTAATGTCCCTGCACTTACAGAGCTTAATTCTAGTTGTGGAGAAAGGGGGTGGGGATGGGAAAGTAGATGACTAAAGAAGCAAATGAAGAACTGAGTGAGCGTCAGCTGGTAATAAATCCAAAGTAGAAAAATAATGCACACATAGGTGACAATTTCAATAAAGACTTGAAGAGAAAAAGCAAACTAGTTAAGTATCTGAGAGAAGAACATGCTAAAAGTAAAGCATCTAGTAAATAGTAAGTGCTCAATACCCAAGAGCTGTTGTCACCATGTTTAAAATCAGTATATGTATACTCTGACCTGGAGTCAAAATGGAAGCCTTGAATCCTGGCTCCAGCCCTAAAGTTACAGAATCCCCTGGGCTTCAGATTCTGCATCTAAGCATGGGAAAATAGCAGTTCCTGTCTAAGAGAATGGCCATATGGATCAAAACTGAAGATGTATGTTCAGATTTTAGCACATTGTCTTAAACATAGTAAGACCAAAAAAAAAAAAAAAATGTTAACCAACCAGCATCCTCAGCATCCCATCCTCAAGCCCGGCTTCCCAGAAATGAAGCAATCTCTGAATGAGCATCTTTGGTAGCAGGTCTACCAGCCCCTCCTTTGCCACTTCTAGTCCAAGCAGGACATTCTCCTCTAGTTCAAAGAAAATTCTCCTTTGTATTGAGTAAAAATCTGTCTCTTTATTCTATTGGTCAATTCCAATAAACTGCATAAAATATGACGTGAAATCTACCAAAATTTTCCAAAAAAATGTTATGTAAAATTAATCTAATCCTTCTACATGACAGTTCTAGAGCATCTGGAATATACATTATTTCCTCACATTTTCTTACCTCCAGTCTGAACAACAGCACCATAAACACCACCACCATCTTCCCCACCGCTGTTTGGTCCCTGCTGTGTTCAGTGAACTTCTTTTATATCAATCCTCTAATTACAACATCTCTTCAAGACAGTAATTGTTGTTAGTTTGCAGATGAAAATATTGAGCTCAAAGAACATGTATAGGATGGATCATGGCTACTGAACAGAAATGGGAGAAGGTAGAGATTTGAGCCCAGGTGTCCCTGGTTTCAGAGCTCATTCCTTCTGGTCCATTTCCTTATTTTTACTCATTACTCCTAGGAGCAATTTTGAGACACTTTGTCATCATATACATTATTCTGTGCTATGAATTCACAGTTTCCTTACCTATAAAATGAGGATAATGACATTACCTGCCTAACTGTGTTATGGGAAGGTTTCATAAAATAATATGAAATGCTCAGTACATTGTATGGCACATGGTGAGAGCTAATTAAATGAGGGCTGGAATGATCATGATAGCAATAATTGTCATCATCATTATTATCTGGTGCAATACCTGAATCATCACATTACTTGTCATCAAATCACACTTGTTCTCTCCTCCAAAACAATACTTGGCAACAAGTAGACTTCCATTCAAAACTGACTGATACAGCTCTTATAGAACCTTCTAGAATAGGATCTGCCATTGAGTCAGTAATTTTACTGTTTATACTAAGTTAAAAACAAAATGTGACCAACTGAAGAGAGAAACAAGGAATTAAGAACCACAAAGCCAGGGCGCCTGGCTGGTGCCATCGGTTAAACATCTGACTCTTGGTTTCAGCTTGGGTCATGATCTCAGGGTCGCATCAGGCTCTGCACTCAGTGTGGAGTCTGCTTGAGATTCTCTCCCTCTGCTCCTCCCACTTGTGCTCTTTCTCTCTAAAATAAATAAATTAATTAAAAAAAAAAAAACACAAGAACCACAAAGTGATCCTTACCAAGTGGGGCAGAATCTCCCCTGGAATTGCAGGAGGGCCGGTTCTGAAGTCTCACGCACCTATTGATGTGCGTGCCTGCAGCCTCCAGGTGCAAAGGAGTGACTGAGTGGGATCTAATAAGTTTTTTTGTCACATGCTTTGCCAAAATTGGACTGCTCCAGGCCTCACGGGGTGCTCCTCTGGCTCTCTTAATTTCTTGTCTGACAGTGAAGATCAGTAGGGTCTCATCAAATTGATTGGATGGTGTCTGGGAGGAACTGGCTTCTCCATGACTCTCTTCTTCTGAAGCTGCACTCACAACAGGAGACCTGGGGATGGTGTGTGGGTGGGCATAAAGCAGGCTTTTACATGCCACTGGAGTCTGAATCTTTCCTGGAGACAATGCAAAAGGTAAACATATTAGTTTAAAAGAATGCACTTCAATATTACCTTCAAAATCAATTGTAGAAAGAATGAAATCAGGCAATATATGGATTATTTGTTTGTTTCACATTTCTGTACTAAACAAACAGAAATGACAAAGAAGCCAAGGACCTGGGTGCCTAAGTGGGAGAAGTAGAGGAGGGAAAACATATGGCAGAGGAGATAAAAGGCTGAACATGCTTCTGTTGGAAGCACTGTGTGAAGGCCTAGATATGTTGGTCAATCAGTCCTCACACAAACTGTATCTAACAGATGCTATTATTATCTCCATTTTATAGATCAGAAACCTAATTTGAGGCTAATGGGTTGAATTGTGTCCCCCAAGAAGATATGTTGAAGTCCCAACCATCTGCGAATTCTGTGAATGTGACCTTATTTGGAAATGGGGTCTTTGCAGGTGCAATCACGTTGAGGTTGTTAGAGTGAGGCCATAATCCAATATGATGAGCGTCCTGATTGGAAGGAGAAACAGACATGGGTGCACAGGAAGAACACCATATGTGATGATGGAGGCAGGGACGGCAGTGGGGGGCTCTCCAAGCCAAGCTATGCCAAGGATTACAGCAACCACCAGCAGCTCAAAGAAGGACATGAAATGAATTCTCCTTCAGAAACTCCAGAAGGCACCAATCTTGCTGACACCTGGATTTCTGACTCCTGGCTGCCAGAACTGGGAGAAAACAATTTGGTTTTAAGCCATCCCATTTATGATTCTTTATTACAGCAGTGCTAGGAAACAGGTATCCACAATAGTTCCAATTGTCCCAGAGCAGTTATTAACAACAGCCCTTTTCATGCTGGGGGAAAAAAAATGGATGCTCGGATTTGGGGAGTTCGGAAAATAAAAAAATATTTTTTAAAAAACACCTCTAGGAGCCTGAATCTCACTACCTGTGCAACAGAGATTTCCTAGATTTCTATATTATTAGAAGGTAGAAAAGAGGAAAAACCAGGAGGTGGGAAGTGTGGAATGGGAAGGGGAAGGGGGTCTATTGCATGAGTTCTACTGTGTGGCAGAAACAGTGCCAGGGCGCAACAAGTCTTAGCAAGATTCCTATTCCTTGTGCTCAAGCTGTGGGCAAGGCGCAAAGAGGATGCTGGCCTTGTTAGGTACCAGGACACACTCCTCCTAAACCACAGTCTCATCTGCAAAAGGAGGAATCAAAGCAAATGCCTCTGGGGGGCTTGCAGATAACAGAAATGAGAGAAAGGGCCAAGGAGAAGTACGCTGGGAGTATACGTCCAGCCACTTCTCAGACCATGCCTTACGTTGCCATGAGGGCAGGTAGGCCCAGTGTAGACAGATTTTTCTGGATTTTCAGGAGAAGCAGAAATATATTTTTATATATGCAAAAACTTATAATTTTTCAATGTTGGTAACTCACTCAATTTTTTAAAAAACATACCGTGGGCTCCACAAAACACATCTGCTCTCTGAATCACCACAGGCCATCAGTTTGCATCTTTGGCCTATGGCCAGCCCTATAAAAGTCACAGTATCATTTGCTTCCCTCCATACCATCTTCATCTCAGAATATGATTTTATAAATATTCAGCTGGGCACCGTGGGAATGCATGTGCAAGCTTTGTGCATAAGCAAATTTTAGAGTTCTAGAAGTCTTGCCTACCTCCAACACTTTAGGAAGATTGAGCTTTTATTTTCATTTTAATTGATTGTTTCCTTTCATCTTAAAGCCCAGAATTTGAAATGGCACAAAAATACATCAGGCTTTCCCAAATGCAAAGCAATATCCAGAATCTTTCATAACAGTAGCTCTGGGACTCTTGATCCCAAAGGAAAATTTACAGCACTAGAACTGGCGGCATTTGATCTGCCCTTGTTCTATTGTTCAAACATCAAGAACGGGATGGAAGTTTCAAAGGCACTTTATGCACCTTCACATCCTAAAAGTTAGGAGTTGAAAGAGGTCTTATAAATCATCTGAGGCTGGCCCCCACCACCCTCATCATGCATCTCTGCTTAAATACCTCTAGGAGCCTATGGGGCGCTTGGGTGGCTCAGTCGGTTAAACGTCTGCCTTCAGCTCAGTTCATGATCCCGGAGTCCTGGGATTGAGTCCTGCGTTGGGCTCCCTACTCTGCCTACTCTCCCTCTCCCTCTGCCCCTCCCCCTGTTCATGCTCTCTCTCCTTCTCTCAAATAAATAAAATATTTTTTAAAAAACACCTCTAGGAGCCTGAATCTCACTACCTGTGCAGCAGAGATTTCCTTGCTTGTTAGAAGAGCAAATAAGTAACATTGTATTTGCAATAAAATAAATATATACATGGATATATGTAATACTATATATGGGGAATAATTATTAAAGCCTCCTTGTATGGTGTTGGGACAGATGGTGACTATGCTTATTTAGTTATTCAACCAATATTTCTTGAGCTCCTATCAGATACTAGGTACTACTCCAATGACAAAATATTACCCAGGCCAACAGAATGGATCATTCTGAGACTAAATTGACCAGCTGATTTATAGCAAAATGGACTTCAGCACGGCAATCCAGAGCCTCTCAGTCTCACGGACACCGGAGTGAATTTCAAGCTTCCTTTATCATACAATTACCAGGTTACCTGAATTGAATAGAACAACCACTTGTTTTAGCATTAAACAATCAGAGACTGTGGCAAATGGAAGGGCATTTTGCAATCTCCAATGGTTTCCAGTCTTTTTAAAAAAAGTTTTCAAATTTCCCCACCAAGATAGTGACAGAATTTTAGCCAAAATCCCCTGCTCATGATTTCAAGTCCAGTGCTCTTTGCTAGGTCACACATCTCTTGAATCTAATGCAGTATTTTCCAATCCTGGCTGTGCATTAGCCAATACCCAGCATGCTTTGAAAAATACAGATACATGGTCCCAGGACCCCAGGACCTGTGGTTAGTAAGCCCCATGGGGATTATAATGAGTGATCAGGGAAACACTTGTCTAATTCACTCATAGGAAATTTCAGGTACTGTTATAACTATGAGTTAGTCCAAGCAATCACAAACACGCTGAAGCATGAAATCAATGGCGTCTTTCTCCTCAGAGTATTCTCTCTCTCTCTATGGATAAGTCTTCGTTTCAGAGACCAGCACTCTGTATCACTTTACAGCTTGTATACTCCTTTACATCTTATTTCTTTTCCAGTCAGTAATCCCCCTTGAGCCTGACAACAACCCTTTTGCTTCCTCATTTTTCTGAGGAGAAAACTGAAGTCAGCAAATAAGTACCTTGTCCATACCACTAACCAAGCATCACAAAAGCTGGGGTGGGGACCCATGTCTTAGATTTTAAGGGGATTTTGTTTTTCTACTCCACAATCAATGCCAGGTTGCCAGAGCAAACTATGGGAACTGGGTTTGATGACGGGAGGGATAGAAGTGCGCACAGAAACAGCTAACAAGCAGTGGCACCTGACCACAGGTCTGACACTGTCCTAGGGTCCATGCTTTGGGCTGTAGTCAAGGCTCTCAGCAGGGCTTCCGATGTGCCAAAGAAGAAAGGGCATCTGCCTATGGCCCAATAACTGGAATTCACTCCCAGGAAAGCCCACATTCTCGAGGCTCCCCCAGCTACCCCTCCAACTTTTCTCACTAGTTGGGGTCCTTGTTTTGTGGGTGTGTTTTTTGCTTAAAAAAAAAACTTCCCATTATCCCAGTTTTGCAAGTTCTTTTCATGTGTAGGCGACTCCGCCTGTCATCTTGCAGCTCAGGTCTTCCATCTGTTGCTAATTTCATTGAAAGTAATATTGTGGCAGACAGGAGATTTCAAGGTACAATAAAATAAGCCTCAGAGCTGAATGTCTTCCACAGAAGCAATTTATCTTTCTCTTGAGCAGCAAAATAGTTCATGATAAGTCATGACAGATTCTGATTTATTCATTTTATTCATTTTCTAGTCATTTAACTCCTGCACTTTCTGCTCCTCTATGATACCAGCAGGCATGGTGCCACACCCCTTTGCGCCCATGCCCAGCAGCTATCCATCAATATATAACTCCTATGTGTTTGTATCCCCACACTGTCTCTTTGCTTTCTTGGACTTCTAACTAGCATGTTCATGTTATGGGAGGACCAGAGGCAACTATCCTGGAAGAAGAACTAAAACCCAGAGACAATTAATTCCCCAAAGCTCATTTTGCCCTTGACTGTCAGCACAAATAGGAGCTAAAGCTAATTGATGTCATCTCCTGCATATAAAATCAAACACAACCCTTAAATAGGTCTTTAACTAATGTTGAAAACTCCAATGTACTCTTTAAAAGGATTCTTAACCACACCGTGGAGTTTAATGGAATCTGCCACTTCGCACCATTTCTCCTAGCTGTGGAGTGAGAGTCCTTTGTAAGCCAATGGGTTTGAGTCTACAGAAAGAGGTTGCAATGCAACAAGCCCTGAGCAGTGGTAGAGCTTAAAGACCAAGTGTGCAAGTTCTGCACCCAGACTCCTTGGGCCAAATCTCTCTTACCCCTTCCTGGCTGTGTTACTAGGACCAAGTTGCTCAATTGCCCTCTGTCTTAGTTTCCTCACTCATAAAATGGCAATAATCATAATACCTACTAGACAGGGTTCAAATGCAGCATAAGTAAGTTAATAAACAAGGGCTAAAGCAGTACCTGGCACACAGGAAGTACTCAGCAAGTCTTAGCTGTTATTATTGTTGTTGTTATTGAAAATGTTCCTTCTCCTCTCCCTCTATAGCTCCTGAATGGCCTCTTTCAGTAATAAGGACTCAAGTGGAAAATAGTATCTTCTCCATCCATCTGGAGTTTGCCTCATTTTATTTATTCAAAAATATTTATCGAATGCCAACTTGTGTGTTTTGCCCTGTATTAGGCTCTGGAGGTGCAACAGACTAAAGCAAATGTGGCCCCTGCCTTCATGGAGCTTGCAAGCTCCTGGGGAAGATGCCAAAAATAGGCCACAACTAAGCAGAGTTACAAACTATGG